TGGACAGAACAGCATTGTTTTCGAGGCCAGCATTGAGATAACCACTAAGTGCACATAGGGCTGGCTCTTTAATGAGAAAGAAAGTTCTGCCTGTAACCTTGCCCAGAACTTGAACTCATCCTCCCTAAGCACATTGCCTGATGAACAAAGCAAGTAAGTGAAGGTCGAAGTCAGAATAGTAGGGTTAAAATTCAAACAGTTTTTACCCAAGTATGATTGCTACCATATTTCAGTCCTTTGGCCATTTTTTTAAATATATTTTTTTATTGATTTTACACAGAGAGGAATTGAGAGGGATAGAGAGTTAGAAACGTCGATGAGAGAGAAACATCGACCAGCTGCCTCTTGCCCACCCCCGACTGGGAATGTGCCCACAACCAAGGTACAGGCCCTTGACAGGAATCGAACCTGGGACCTTTCAGTCCGCAGGCCAACACTCTACCACTGAGCCAAACCGGTCTTGGCCCTTTGGCCATTTTTAATCTGATTGGATTGTTGTTGTTTTTGTGGTTTTTATGTGTGTGTGTGTTGAGTTTTATAAGTTCTTTATAAATTTTGGGTTTTTCCCTAACCGGTTTGGCTCCGTAGATAGAGCATCGGCCTGCCAACTGAAGAATCCCAGTTTCCATTCTGGTCAAGGGCATGTACCTTGGTTGCAGGCACATCCCCAGTAGGGGGAATGCAGGAGGCAGCTGATGGATGTTTCTTTATCATTGATGTTTCTAACTCTCTATCCTCTCTCTTCCTCTCTGAAAAAAAATAATAATAATAATAATAATATATTTTTATTTAAAATTAAAAAATATATTTTTTTATTTGTTAATATATATTTATATTTATTAATATATAAATATTTATAATATATAATATATAATATATAATATATAATATATAATATATAAATATTTATCATATAATATATATTTATAATATATAATTTATAATATATGATATATATAAATGTTTATAATATGTAATATATAATATATATAAATATATTTTTTTAATAAATAAATAAACTGATAAGAACAGATACTATGCTTGATCTTAGCCAAAAGGCCGAGAAGCAATAATTTGGGGTATTAACAACTTATCAGATGTGCCATTTGAGAATGTAAAGTATTTTCCCATTCAGTGGGTTGTCTTTTCACTTTGTTGATTGTTTCCTTTATGTGCAAATACTTTTTAGTTTGATATAGACCCTTTATTTTTCTTTTGTTTCCCTTGCCTCAGAAAAAAATGTTCTATGAGAAATGTGCAAGATTTTACTGCCTATGTTTTCTTCTAAGACTTTTATGGTTTTAAGTCTAACATTTAAGTCTTTAATCTATTTTGAGTTTATTCTTGTGTATGGTGTAAGAAGATGGTCTAGTTTCATTATTTTCCATGTTATCAATCCAATTTTCCCCAAAACCATTTATTAAATACACTATCTTTACCCCATGGTATATTTTTGCCTCCTTTGTCAAATACTAATTTGCGGTGGGGTGCTTCTCCTTCCGCGTCCTGCACGGAAGAGGAGGACAGGTTCTTGAGTGGAGGAGCTGGGGAATTGAGAAAAAAGAAAGAAAGAAACAAGAGACAGAAATAGGTTCAAGCTGGGTGCCGAGTGGAGGCTGTCACTCTGATGAAGGGACAGCCACACCCACCACAGACAACACAGCACATTTATTGATTTCCAAAGGGGGGGTTAAGGTCAAAAGGAGTTTCGGGTGTGCCCAGGTCCTATTCATCAAGACCTGGGTAAGTTCCTTATTTTTTGGTACAAGAACTGGATTTAGCATGTCAGGACCTGGGTAAGTCAAGGTACTATTTGTTCCTCATTCAAAGCACAAGGATAAAGATAAGAAATCTGCACTGATAACTATTTCCGACATTTTGGGTGGCTGTTTTCAGAAGACGGCATGCCGGTCACCACGGACTCAGCTGACATTAACTTAAAGGTCATCCGTGTGCATTTCCAAGGGGCCCTCTGCACCAATTGACCAAAATGTTTTTTCCTTGATGCTAATCTGAAGATGTTTGATGGAAGACAATTCCTTAAACTGTCTAATGTTAAAGAATAGAACAAGAATTCTCACATTTTCCCAGAAGTATAAATGGATACCCTTATCCGGAATATTCTATTTGAGAAGTTTGCCTGTATCTAAAAGATTGTTTCACTTCTCTTTCTGAATTTCTACATACTCATCAATTGCCTTTAAAGATATTTATTTAACAATTTTTGGATTTTCAGACCTATTTTTTTTTCAATAATCATTCCTCCCCAACTATCTGTTCTTTTATTTATTAATATATAATAATACTTTCATTGCCTTCTAACTATCTCCCAGGTGCTCTTCTACTGAGCTTTTAATATACTTTATTGTACTTAATCCTGTTTAAAATAAGAAAGGTGTTCATAAATGGAAAAGACAGTATCTGTGTATAAGTCCTCTGTCCCCTGACTCCATACTTGCTTGACAATGTTACTTCTGACAGAGCAAACATATTTTCCTTCCAAGGTGAAAACTTATAGATATATTTTCTCCCTTAATGCTATTTCATAATTTCTAGCATTCTTTAATTTGTATCTTGGTCAATTTTTTTACCTAAGAAAAAATATTTAATACAGAAATTCAAAATATAGGATATCTGTAATAAGTTTTGATATGAAAATCAAAGTTTATTTACTATTTTTAATTTTGGTGCATATCATTTAAAAATATCAGCAATTCTTCAAAGTTTTACCATATGAGCATTACTATATTATATGTGGGTACAAAGGGAAAATTTTCCTGGGTGGCTGCTATTTTATGTGCATACTATGCAAAGAGAAAACAAGTAACAGGAAAAGTAAAATTGAAAAGCTCCTGTGTTAATAAATCCTTATTATTGGTAAGAAGATTTACTGTTTAAAATATGTATTTTTAATTTAACTGAGAATATGGAGACAAACAGACTACATGTCTAAGCATCTCTTTATTTAATGCATAACTATTTTACATTAAAATTTCAATTCATTTACTTAAATTGTATAAAAGAATGGATATTTGATTTGACTAGTCTCAATTTTACATCTGATAATTAATAGTTTTTTCTTTCAAAAGATTTTGGCCAATAAATCTTCTTACATATTCAAAATAATACTTTACTTGCTTTCAATTCATTTCAATTATCTCCAAACTATTAATCAGGTGAATTCCTTATTAATATGCTTAGTCAATAATTCCTTACATTTGTCATTATTTGCTAATCCTTTACATTTGGAAATTATTCATATTACTTTTCTTTAGCAAAGTAGAATGCAGACACCATACATCCCTGATTTATACAGATCAAGGCTCCCTATTCCAAGATCAAGGCTCCCTATTTTCAAATGTAGAAATTAGTCCAGTTGTTATCCAAATAGATATAAATTTCCTGCAGTTATACTAACCTACAGTTTAGAAAGGTTTACATTGTTATTTTTCTTAGTAATCTATTCCTACTGGGTGGTAGGGAGGTCTCTTTTTGCCATACACTACTGTATCTACCTGCTATCAAGTTAACATTAGAAAATGTTGAATTCATAAGTATTTTAATTATTTCAAATACTTTTTCTTGCTATATTCAGTTTCCTTATGATAAAAATGACCCTTTTATACCTAAATTTTACATTAAGTTACTTAGTTATGTTGTTTTTTTTTAAATCTTTATCTTCAAGATGCCGTGACTCGGATGTGACCCCTAAATTAGTTGTATTTTATTTTTATTTTTCTTTAAATATATATTTTATTGATTTCTTACAGAGAGGAGGAGAGAGAGATAGAGAGCTAGAAACGTCGATGAGAAAGAAACATCGACCAGCTGCCTCTTGCACACCCCCTACAGGGGATGTGCCCACAACCAATGTACATGCCCCTGACCGGAATCGAACCTGGGACCTTTCAGTCCGCAGACCGATGCTCTACCACTGAGCCAAACTGGTTTCGGCAAATTAGTTGTATTTTAAAATAACTGCCGTTGCAAGTGAAAATTAACAACTTTATTAGAAATAGTCTATCTCAATATACATTTTTTTTTTAAAGTTTCTAGTATTGGTACTATAATTTTATCTAAAATATGCCTGGAAGGCAACAACAGCTACACAGTTTCCTAACATGTATATATAGGCACCTGCAAGTAGGACAGTCAAAACTGCTGGGAAGAAAACTGTCACCAGCATCATCACCTTAGGATATAATCATTATCCATGCAAATTTAAAATATTAATCTATAGTAAATGTATACATGAGTAACATGGGGGGAAGGAAACTGATATTTATCTATTCATTCCCATTATTATGATTATTAAAAAAAAAGTCTATCTCTCCCTTTTTGAATTATTTTTCTGGAGATATTTTCATTTCTCATGGTGATTGGTTACGGGGAAAGGAGCTTGTTCTTCCTAAGAGCAAGAAACCACAGTTTTATATGAAAACACGCCTGGAGATTTTCCTTAAAAAACCTGCTTTTATAAATCCTTTGGTGTCCCTTACACAGCAGTGGATATGCCAGCTACGGCAAAGGCCAAAAGCCTGCCATGCCATAGCCGCAGGCAGCAGGCCGCCGCCCGCTGAGCCGCCTGTGCCTTTGACTAGCGCTGCTGGGCTGGATGGCCGCGGCCTGGGCGGCGTGAAACAGGCTCCGGGCAGGCCGTCCCCCAGGGAGCTGTGCTGGGGCCCGAGTGAGGGAGGACGAGGGTCAGGGTGCGGGGAGGGCCCCGGGCAGCCCTGTCCTCCACGCCTTCACGGAGCACAGCAGGGTCCGCCTGGGCCCCCGAGTGCACGTCGCAGGCCGTCCGGCCGGGGCCGTCGCTCCCCGAGCCCGCCGCCGCCGTTGCCAAGGCGACCGCCCCGAAAGTTCCCGCGGAGGCCCCGCCCCCCGGCCAATCGGACGGCGCCCGCCGGAGCCCGGCTCCCTTTGTTCCGCAGCCATTTCTGGCCCCGGGCGGGAGCCGCGCCGCTGCGCTGAGGGCCCGAGCGCCGCAGGCCTCTGGGATGGTGTGGGACCGGGTAGGTGACGCGGAGCGCGGCGGGCCGAGGGCGGGCGGCAGTGGGGCCGCAGTGCCGAGGCCGGCGGGCGGCCGTGGGGAGAGGGCGGGCTCGCCGCCCCCGGCCCCCGCCCGCCCGGCCGTTTGGAGCCGGCGGCGGCGGCGGCGGCTGCGCGGTTCCAAGCCCAACAGCTTCGGCCGGGCGCCCAGCGGGGCCGGGCAGAGCGGGCGGGTGGGCGGCTGCGGCTCCTCAGGTGTCCAAGGTCGCGGCCTGGGGCCTGTTGGGGCCGTGGGCTCGGGGGGGTCTGCTCCGCGGAGTGTTCGCCGCCGCCAGGGAGAGGGCGGCGTTGGAGGAGCCGATGCCGCAGGCGCTGCCCCGGGGCGGCCGCTTCCCGCCGGTCCCGGCCGCTGCGCAGCGCTGCCCGCGGCCGCTCTTTGTCCCCCGGAGCCGGACCCCGGACCCCGGACCCCGGCGCCTCCACGCTCAGCCCGCTGATGGCTCTCTGCAGGCGGGCCTCTCCCCGGGGCCTCCGGGCCTCACGACGTGTGCACCTCGTGTTACTGTTTTATCTGCGGGGTTTGCGTGGGGTGGGTGGTTGCCCTCCTGCCCTTCTGTGCTGCTCCCACTCCCCCATGCAACAGGGGAGCCCGGACAGCTGCCGGGAGCAGACCGGCCGCCACAGCCAGCCCGTGTGGGGCACGGCTTTCTGGCTTTAAACTTGAGCGCCTGTGATGTGTGTACGGATTTTAAAAATCGACTGGAGGTGACAAGGATTGCTTACATTTCGTCCGTTATATCTTAATTTTACTAATCATTTGGCCCCTCAGCAGATATAAATGTAAACATTTAAAGCGGGAGGCTATCCACAAATTGATTTTGACAGTTGTATTAAGAAGCTTAATACCCATCCTGCTTTGAAACAGGGATGACTTCAAAGGTGAATACATAAATGGTGCTTTTTTTGTTTTTTCCACTCTAAAGAAAAGATGTTTTTAAGATAGGTATTCTGAAGAGTAAGGTTGCAAAATGGCTGGCCCGATGTGCTCAGTTTTAGGCTAAATTCCTTTTGGATTTTAAGTTTTCCTATTATTATATCAAGGCTTTCATATCAGAATGGTAAATAAGGTTTTCTTAATGAAGCAAGGGAGATACTTTAGGAATCGATTCTCTTTTCCACTTTTACTCTGCCCTGCACCTCATTCTGAGAGAATGACTCCACCAAGTTGAAAACTTGCAAGTGCAAAAGGGAAATAATAGTTTGAAGGTGCGGATTTTCTTTTTAACTCCTTGGCCTATCTAATGCGTAAGTGCATAGCAGTTTGGCAGTATGCATTTTTACTTCATCTTATTTCATGTGAGCTTTATGAACTATGAGTGCTCTCTTTGCTTTTTCCTAAAAACCTGCATTAGGCAGATCAGGCTTGATGTGTTTTCTTCACATCTTCGTCTTATGTATTCAGGGAATTACTAAATTCTGCCCACTGATATTTTAACCTATAAAAATCTTTTAAAAGTAATCAAACTTTTTACCATTATATATTGTGAACAGAAGAAAATTTTGATAAAAAATACATGACATTCCAGTTGTAAATATCCTCATTGTAAGACTTGTTGTATTCATTGTTTTATGACTAATATATATATATATATATTTGTGTGTGAGTGTGTGTGTATATATATATAATATAAAAGCCAATACATGAACTTAATTTTTCTAAATACTGTAAATGAACTGCATTGAAATGTAAACGTACTATATGTAGAAGAATTGCTTGCATTTAACCGTGTTGGATTCTGCAAAAACTATTTTTAAGAAAAGAAATGTGGTTTTAAAGGCAGCTGAACCAAATGACATATGTAATGGGGAGGAAAAATCAAATGTAAATTGCAGAGGAGCACAGCAGTGAGTTATTTTTATTTCTCAAGACATAAATTATGAATATTTCTTCCTGGAATTGTTTTTTTTTTTAATTTTTTAAATATATTTTATTGATTTTTTGCAGAAAGGAAGGGAGAGAGATAGAGATTTAGAAACGTCGATGAGAAAGAATCATCGACCACATGCCTCTTGCACACCCCCTATTGGGGATGTGCCCCCACAACCAAGGTACATGCCCTTGACTGGAATCGAATCCGGGACCTTTCAGTCCACAGGCCGACGCTCTATCCACTGAGCCAAACCGGTCCTGGCATTGAGTTGCATTTTTATAATTGGCTTTGAAGTACTCAGAATCCTTTAGTAAAATAATTGCCAACAGAGCCCCTTAACCATCAGGTGCAGAAGTTACTGCCATAGATGAAAAGATTGATCCCCAGAAGGACCAAACTTCCATTGCTTTTTGTCTACTAAAGAAGGAATTAGGGAGGAAAATTTTTCAGCAAATCATTAACATACTAAATAGATGCATATAAATTATTAGGATTATGCTGCCATTATTAATGATGTTTTTGAAACATACTTGATGAAGTAAAAATAGAGTTTATTTTGGTAGGATAACAGGAAAATAATGAGAAAGCAAATTATGAAGGACTTCGTATGTCATTTATTCATTCACTAACCATTTCTTAGTGCTGGGATTATCCCTTGTCCTCAAGACAGTTAAATACTAATGGAGAGAATGAAATGTAAACAAAAAAGTATAATTACAGCTTTTATTATATAAATCTATTGGGACACCCAGGAGGGCAAATGATAGATTTCATGCAGAGTAGGAGAAATGGTGCAGGCATTTCAGGGGCTAGGGTAGACTTGAGAGTATGTCAGTAAAGCTAAGGACCTTTGTGTTCTTGAAACTTAAAGCAGTTGAGAGGGCCTAAAAGAGACAGAGAAGTCTGCAAACTTCTGTAAAGGACCAAACAGTGTTTTCTGTTTTGTGGGCCCTATTGCCTCTGCCATTTTAATGCAAAAGCAGTCCAGTCATAGACCTTACTAAAACTAATGGAATGACCAGATTTGACTTGTGTTGCCCTAGTACAAGCCATGGAAAGATTTGAAAGGAATTTACCACATTGATTTGTGTGAATCAGTAAAAGCAGAATAAAAATAGAAAATAGATTTTTTTAAGCACTGTAAAGCAATAAGAACAGAAAGCACAATTCAATTTTATAAATTGGCAAATTCACAGAAGGGGAAATAGCCAATAAATGTGAAATATTGTTCTATACCATTAATAGGGAAACACACGGTTTTAGGGTATTTCATACATTGACTACAGCCACTTCAATTTTAAAGTAAAAATATTTTGACCCTGTAATTTCCATTTCTTAGAAAACAGGGATATATCCATAGTCAGTTGTGTTCAATATGTCTTTGTCAGTAGCAACAGAAACTCCAGACTTACAGTCACCTTTCATCTCATGCATTCCAGTTCATGAATGGGTCTATATTTGTCTGCCTTTTTTGTTTTGTTTTGTTTTGTTTTGTTTTGTTGTTTGTTTTTGTTAACCCCTTCCCAACTCTTTATAATTCTTTTCTCAACCTATGCTTAAACATCCCCTTCACTTTCTTGCTCTTATAGAAACCTGATGTTTTGCACTGTGCAGTTTGGTTGCTTTATTTATTTTTTCCATACTTCTCCTTGTCACTGTTTCTACAGGTGGGAAAGGTGTCTGTCCATCTCCTCCCTAAAAATCTTTCCCCTAACAATCCTCAGTTTTGTGTTATGTCAGCAGGTTACCCCTTAAGATTGCCATTAACTATTAACTTCATTTCTCAAAATCTGTTTTTAGCTCCAGGCTCATTGCATCTCTTTCCAATACCACCTCAAACTTCATATTACAGTTGAAAAGAGTATACATAACTGGTATTTCCAGTATCCTGGGCTCTCACTTCCTAGACCTTTTCTTCAGTGTTCTTCCCAATACCTATCTCTTCCCATCACTCCCACAGTGTTCCCCTCTTGCATTGCTAATAACTGCAGTCCCTCCATAGTTACCATTTCATGAGTTCTACTTTGTGACCCTACTTCCTGTTTTTGTGGTTCACTCCTAGTCAGTGTCTCAGTCCCAACCATCTTTTGACCCCAATGGAATCTCCAGTCTATTCATCCTATTACTAGTTTCCTGGCACTCATTTCTTGATGTTTTCACTCCCTTTCTTACTTCTCTTATATTCCACGATTAATCATTTTTAGCTCATCTTTGGATCTACTCCCATGCTCTTTGCTTCTTTAATAAAATCCACAGCCCTGGTTAAACCAATCCTGCCTTCTTTGCACCTGCCCCTATGCAGCTCAATGTGGCAGGAAGCAAGCACACCACCACACATGACCACTTACCGCAAGTGGGTCCTTAATGCTGCTCTTGATTGTACTTTATTTTCCTAGTCTATTCACTCTCCGAATTGACTATTTTATATCTTCTTCAAATATCCAGTATCTCTTTTCCCATTCTCACTTTAAGTTCATGACATTGGTTCTTACTTTGCTAAGAAAATTGAAGCAATCAGAAAATTTCTCCCATTACCCTGTATACTACCAGAATCTGGTCAATGCATGTTATCTTCCTGCTTGTTACCTTAGAGTAACTGCTTTTGTACTAGATCCCATTCTTTCTCATTTGCTTAAGAACATTTTTTCAACTTCTGTCCTTCCACATAATTTTTTTAATTTATTGGGATTTCTGGCAGCAACAAACATGCTATTTTCCCCCACCCTTTAAAAAAAAAAAAAAAATACCTGATTCACTCTTTACTGCAGTTTCCAATATTTTGTTTCCTTTTCCAGCATTATAATTATTTTTTTAATATATTTTATTGATTTTGTACAGAGAGGAAGGGAGATAGAGAGCTAGAAACATCGATGAGAGAGAGTCATCGATCAGCTGCCTCTTGCACACCCCCTACTGGGGATATGCCCGCAACCAAGGTACATGCCCTTGACCGGAATCGAACCCAGGACCCTTCAGTCCCCAAGCCGACGCTCTATCCATTGAGCCAAACCGGTGCCGGCCCAGCATTATTCTTCAAAGGAGATGTCTATACTACTTATTGCCAGATTTTCTCTTCCCATGTTTTATTAGAT